CAGTGTATGAGAAGCCCTACTATCAGGATTGTCCGGGTGGACGATCCGGGCTCGAATTCTTGCACTGGTCGCTTCAAGTTGGCTGTCAGCCTGGGTCTCGGAAACCCTGTGTACACGTTGTCATATGAATAGGAGATACTATCATTTGAACACGTTCCGCTCGGATTTACACTCGAAAGCCTCAAGCGAGTCAATCTCCTGATCTGATCGACCTGATCTTACAAAAAAGTAGGCACAATTTTGAGTCTGAAGGAGAATCCATGCCATTTAATTTTCTGTGATTGGAGAAATCAGAAATTCACTCAGCTATCTGCTTTCTTCTGAGAGTTGCCAAATGAGATTTTTCGTCTACGGGGATGACATCCCCAACCATCAAATAACCATCACTGTAGAGTAGCTTTTTTACTTTCGGATCATACGGGTCTGGAAGTCTTCCGCACAACATCAAAGCCCAACAGCACCCTTGTTAGAAAGCGAGGTGACAAAGTCCACGATGATTGTTGATTTCTTCTTATAGAAGGCCAAATAAGAATCAGTTTGCGTCTTTTATTGTGGCTGCATGCGCTGTAACCCAACATGGGATGTCATGAAACTCGGGGTATATTTGGAACACCTTTTCGTGAATTTGAGGTGGCACATAGGGCTTTTTATTTATACTTTATTCCTAAAGCTTTGATACTTCTTTCTTGAGATACTGGTAGTTGGGTTAGTAACGGATTCATGGATCATTCACTTGGGGCTCCCTTTCGATGCATAATTGCCATGACATGAGAAGAAAGCACGAGGACTGGGATACATCCAGTTCACCCAAGCCTAGACAGGGGAAGTCGAGAGGCAGAGGTTGGGTTCGAACCACGGACCTCCCGGTCAGTAAATTCACGCTCTAACTACTGAGCCATAGAAGTAATACTGTAGCCAGAGGGTTGATGGGATCTCCTCAACAGCTCGTGACCGGTTTCACCCCTGTGCTTCGGGTTCACCCGGTAGGCGCAATTCCCCGAGGTTCCATCGATCATATGTGTTACTTAAACCGAAATTGAATAGAATTCAACACCTGCCCTCTTTTGCATGCCAACATAGTTTTGACGAGGGACACAAGTGAATCCAGTTGAACCTCTCGTTTATGCTGTTCTGCTGCAAATATGTTCATTCCATTCCTTCACTGGTGATTGGATCAGTGAGAAATTCATGGGTGACTCATTAAACCCCCGCTTTTTTTCAAGGAAGCCACGATAACGCCCTGAAAGTTTCCATCCTAGCCCCCGGAATGTACGCAATACTGATGAATGCGGAACGGTTAATTGCACAGTGAACTAAAAAATCACTACTTGTATGGACGTAATACACTACTCATAAGGTAACTGGAAAATCTTCGACAGCCCACGACCGGTTTCGTTCTTTTCGGTGCACATCAGATGGGCGCAGTCTCCGAGTTCCTGTGAACCTTATGTTCTAATTGAAACCAAATGGCACGAAACTAGCGAAATACACTATTGCAAACTAACTTGATTTTCCAAAAGACTCGCCTGGAACCCAGCTGAATCTCTTGCGCGATATACTGAATGTCGTACCAGCTGAAACATGAATCGGCCTGGTGTAGCACATTCATTAGCTTGAAAACATCATAAACGAGAGAATCAGCTGGGTTCCAGGTGAGTCTCCCGCAAAACCTAATTGGTTTGCAAATGAGTGTAGCTCGTTTGTTTCGTGCAATTTGGGTTCAAGTAGAACATAAGTTTGAAAGAAACTCGAGGACTGCGCCTATCTGAAGAGCCCCAAAAAGAGCGAAACTGGTCGTGAGGTGTCGAAGAACCTTCGGCAACAGTAGCATATTACATCTAGATCCACATACGTTCTTTTCACTGGTACAACTACCATGAACACGTCCAAAGCTTCAGGTCATCAGCTGGAATGTCAAACTTGGTTTTCTTCCGATTGCTACCTGGGTCGTTTACAACCGGTCGGATGTTGAATATTGATCGGGTGATCTAACGAGAAACGTTTCTGATTGAGTGTCACACCTGTAAAGTACCACGCGCATGATGCAACACATGTTCACTTAACAAGACCACCGAAGCACTTACAAAAGTCCCACTGTGCTAGGTGTCACTTTCCATCCAGTCTTTCGTACCCCCTGCGTGATGCACCCAGGCGTTCCGTGTGGCGCTTTTCGCCGTAGAACGTCTGTTTGAATCAGATTGTGATTAGTCTTTGCATTGCTGATGAACATCAAACATACGGACGAAGTGGTCGGTTGGGTTCGGACTAATTTTGGATCTAGAGGTGAGAACGCGATGTGTTCGTGGACCGGAACAAGATTAAACTTCTCCGTTCGCGGAACTTCCACGCACATTTTTGGCTATTTCTCCGGTGGAAACAATCAAGCGAAAAGTAGAAACGTGGGATCGCGTAAAGTGTAGAAGTTAATTATGATAAACTGCTTATTTGCAAATCAACTTGGTGTCGATGGGGGTTCTCATGGGAATTCCAGCTGAATGATTTGCCAACCACGTACTAATAGGTGTTAAAGCAGATCGAAACATAATGAAAACACGTGGATAGGATGTATCTGATGAGCTGCATGAAGAACGAATCTGGTCGTTATCTACAGACGAGATTTTGGAGGGTAATGTTTCGTCCTTTGGGAAATATGTATGCCGTCGGCTGGATACAGCTCCAGGATTCTGGTGATAAGGAGGCATTTCCCGTTCACTATCAACCGGAAAATGAGCCTCAAGATAAGCGGTCACTTGGTAGTCATAAAGCTCGGGGACCGCGGCTACATAAAGTGGCATTCTTGGGAACCTGTGTTACTTTACTTCAGAGCATTGTCATGATGGGACAAGCAGTGGATTCTGCTGGAAGCATGTGAGCAAACCAGAAGGAGTGACGGAACACTTTCCGGAAGGATGCAGGTTTCGGACATATAAATTCGCCCAAAAGGAGAACTCCGGAGGGCGCCGGGAAAGGCTTCCCGAGGTGTTGAACTAGCGAGTTGGCAGAGCATGTGACAAATTAATGGAGGACAACCTGGTGATGTCCATCGGTAATTGAGTTTGTGAAGCCATTGGCGAATCACCGATAACCTGTTTCAAAGAAACTGTTCATGACATGAGGGTACGACATGCGGATAGGGAGTTGCCCACGCCCGTGGGTGGAAATATTTTTCATATCGAGCAAGCTACTGGAAAATAATCAGTAGCTTGAATAGACTCGAAAAAAGCCACGCCAAGGACAATTAGGCTCCATTCCAGCTCCGAGGTCCTTACCTTTTTGTACGACAGGAAATCGTTCTCTAAGGGTGGGTGAATTCAGTAGTTAAGGTTCCAGGATTCGCTTCATGACACTCTCTTCTGAACACTCCCTCTCCTCTTCCTTCCCATTAAAACTCACCAAAAAGGCATATCTTTGACTGTGCTGGGGTCTGAACTCCGGGTACTTGATAACTCATGTCAACTTCTCACCATTAGTTCACAAGCACAAGCCGGACCTACCTGGACGTTCACGTCTGAATAAGCGAACGATTTCACGCTTGAACGATGCGATTGGTTTACCTGACGATACATCTGTTCAACTATACGCTATGATGACTGCCTAAAAACAGATGAATCGACTAAGTCGAATAAATTTTATCCCAACAAACTTCTACTTCTTGTTTAAGCCGCATCAATTTACTTATGAGATGCAAGTCAGTTGACGTGCAAAACAGTCCGGTAGATTTCGGAACACTTGTTTTCGGCAATTTCGTAGCCGTCTTTCGCAACTGAAAAATGAATGGGAGGTAAAATTCTGAGAGTTTTTAAAATGCAAGTGCCCTGAACAGCGACTACCGTTTGTTTTTATGATATATACATATACAAAACGATATCGAACGACGTCAGAACGATGTCGACAACAATAAGAGCTGAATTTGTCACACTACTTTCACAGAATGAGTAGAGGAAATAGTTCAAAGAACTTCAGCCACCCTTGACCGCAAACCAAGACGAATAAGCTCGTTTGCACATCAATTTGGTTTTCACGAAAGGCTGAGTCGCTTGAATCCTAACTGAATTCCTGAGTTACGCTGTTCTCCTTCAACTCATTTGCTACACGAAACCTCATGTTTCAAGTGAGTTTCAGTTGGGGAAGAACATCAACAAGGTCGTGAGGTGTCGAAGAACCTTCGGCAACAGTAGCATATTACATCTAGATCCACATACGTTCTTTTCACTGGTACAACTACCATGAACACGTCCAAAGCTTCAGGTCATCAGCTGGAATGTCAAACTTGGTTTTCTTCCGATTGCTACCTGGGTCGTTTACAACCGGTCGGATGTTGAATATTGATCGGGTGATCTAACGAGAAACGTTTCTGATTGAGTGTCACACCTGTAAAGTACCACGCGCATGATGCAACACATGTTCACTTAACAAGACCACCGAAGCACTTACAAAAGTCCCACTGTGCTAGGTGTCACTTTCCATCCAGTCTTTCGTACCCCCTGCGTGATGCACCCAGGCGTTCCGTGTGGCGCTTTTCGCCGTAGAACGTCTGTTTGAATCAGATTGTGATTAGTCTTTGCATTGCTGATGAACATCAAACATACGGACGAAGTGGTCGGTTGGGTTCGGACTAATTTTGGATCTAGAGGTGAGAACGCGATGTGTTCGTGGACCGGAACAAGATTAAACTTCTCCGTTCGCGGAACTTCCACGCACATTTTTGGCTATTTCTCCGGTGGAAACAATCAAGCGAAAAGTAGAAACGTGGGATCGCGTAAAGTGTAGAAGTTAATTATGATAGACTGCTTATTTGCAAATCAACTTAGTGTCGATGGGGGTTCTCATGGGAATTCCAGCTGAATGATTTGCCAACCACGTACTAATAGGTGTTAAAGCAGATCGAAACATAATGAAAACACGTGGATAGGATGTATCTGATGAGCTGCATGAAGAACGAATCTGGTCGTTATCTACAGACGAGATTTTGGAGGGTAATGTTTCGTCCTTTGGGAAATATGTATGCCGTCGGCTGGATACAGTTCCAGGATTCTGGTGATAAGGAGGCATTTCCCGTTCACTATCAACCGGAAAATGAGCCTCAAGATAAGCGGTCACTTGGTAGTCATAAAGCTCGGGGACCGCGGCTACATAGTGGCATTCTTGGGAACCTGTGTTACTTTACTTCAGAGCATTGTCATGATGGGACAAGCAGTGGATTCTGCTGGAAGCATGTGAGCAAACCAGAAGGAGTGACGGAACACTTTCCGGAAGGATGCAGGTTTCGGACATATAAATTCGCCCAAAAGGAGAACTCCGGAGGGCGCCGGGAAGGCCTTCCAGAGGTGTTGAACCAGGGAGTTGGCAGAGCATGTGACAAATTAATGGAGGACAACCTGGTGATGTCCATCGGTAATGAGTTTGTGCCAAAAGGAGAACTCCGGAGGGCGCCGGGAAAGGCTTCCAGAGGTGTTGAACCAGGGAGTTGGCAGAGCATGTGACAAATTAATGGAGGACAACCTGGTGATGTCCATCGGTAATTGAGTTTGTGAAGCCATTGGCGAATCACCGATAACATTTTTCAAACAAACTGTTCATGACATGAGGGTACGACATGCGGATAGGGAGTTGCCCACGCCCGTGGGTGGAAATATTTTTCATATCGAACAAGCTACTGGAAAATAATCAGTAGCTTGAATAGACTCGAAAAAAGCCACGCCAAGGACAATTAGGCTCCATTCCAGCTCCGAGGTCCTTACCTTTTTGTACGACAGGAAATCGTTCTCTAAGGGTGGGTGAATTCAGTAGTTAAGGTTCCAGGATTCGCTTCATGACACTCTCTTCTGAACACTCCCTCTCCTCTTCCTTCCCATTAAAACTCACCAAAAAGGCACATCTTTGACTGTGCTGGGGTTTGAACTCCGGGTACTTGATAACTCATGTCAGCTTCTCACCATTAGTTCACAAGCACAAGCCGGACCTACCTGGACGTTCACGTCTGAATAAGCGAACGATTTCACGCTTGAACGATGCGATTGGTTTACCTGACGATACATCTGTTCAACTATACGCTATGATGACTGCCTAAAAACAGATGAATCGACTAAGTCGAATAAATTTTATCCCAACAAACTTTTACTTCTTGTTTAAGCCGCACCAATTTACTTATGAGATGCAAGTCAGTTGACGTGCAAAACAGTCCGGTAGATTTCGGAACACTTGTTTTCGGCAATTTCGCAGCCGTCTTTCGCAACTGAAAAATGAATGGGAGGTAAAATTCTGAGAGTTTTTAAAATGCAAATGCCCTGAACAGCGACTACCGTTTGTTTTTATGATATATACATATACAAAACGATATCGAACGATGTCGACAACAATAAGAGCTGAATTTGTCACACTACTTTCACAGAATGAGTAGAGGAAATAGTTCAAAGAACTTCAGCCACCCCTGACCGCAAACCAAGACGAATAAGCTCGTTTGCACACCAATTTGGTTTTCACGAAAGGCTGAGTCGCTTGAATCCTAACTGAATTCCTGAGTTACGCTGTTCTCCTTCAACTCATTTGCTACACGAAACCTCATGTTTCAAGTGAGTTTCAGTTGGGGAAGAACATCAACAACGAGAGATTCAGGCGAGTCTCCCTTGAACACTAGATAGATCTGCAGACGGGTGCACTTTCGGAATTCCATTCAGTGTGCGTTAAAGTAGGACATGAAGGCAACGGAACCTCGGGGACTGCGCCCACCTGATGAGCTCAAATCAGAGAGGCAAAACCGTTGGGGTGTAGGCTGTCCAAGAGTTTTCAATAACCTTATGAGTAGTGTGTTGCGTCCGACAGGAAACCCGTCCTTGCTGCGTTTACGTCACTTAACGTCAACTTTTTTCTTCAGGGCACGTTTATCGAAACGAACGGAAGTGTCTCAGGAAAATGTTCAATGGGATCGCTTCCGTGCCTGTTCCTAAACCCCACCGGACCACCGCGAGTTGCGTCCACTCTATCGCTTCCACACACTGGGATCGGCCCCTCACAAATCAGTGTGTTACCACCGGCAGGCTTTCAACATCTGGGACTCTCTAATTTCCCTCCAACGGCGAGCCTGACAAGGTCATTATTATCGATCTCCACCTTGCATGATGCAGCCGGTCACATGAACTCTCCACGCTTACGAGCAACCTCTTGTCAACCACTGAGCCGAACAACCATTAATCGCTTTACCGAGCCACGTTTATTTTTCCCTGAATCCACGCACGATAACGCTCAACCATTAGATTTAACGCTTAAATCGTCGGCTGATGTGAAGGCAACAACGGATAGCCAATTGCATCATGACCCTGGAGCACTTCAGCCTGTACCCCCCTGCAGCGAGCATGTTTGCAGTACGGTCAATCACACTAATTCCCTGGTGACCAATGTTGAAAACAATGAGAAAACTATGGTTCACCAGCTAGACAGAGGGTCCAGTCAACGCAGACGGAAAACAATGTCTTCTTGCACAACCAAGTCGCCTTATCCTTCAGGTATCACTGAAGGTAAGAATCCCCAGTCAACCGTACCTGAAGACGCCTATAAAATGTTCCGAGGCAGGACAGTCGTGGAGCGTGCATTGCTGTCGACAGTTAGTGATAACGAAGAATACGTAGCTGTGAGCAATGGTGATGACCAGACTTCCCCTTCCTTCGTGACTGTCCATCTACTCAGACCAAGACGTTCACAAAGCGCCAATGAGGACCGCTTCGTCAACGGAAAGTACAATGATCCCGAGACGAAGGAGGTTTCTTCAATCAGTAAAGATTCAAAACCAATCGAAAGTGGAGACTCACTCAAAGATGATGTGAAGCTCGTGAAAACCTTCAAAGTAGTTCATGAAAAGGCAGATTCTTCTGTGTGTAATCCTAGAATGCGCCGCTTTCCTGAAATGACGCCCAGAGAAGTCAAAGACGAGACTTACTGGGAGAAAAGGGTGAAGAACAATGAAGCTGCGAGACGCTCACGGAGGGCCAGAAAAACCAAAGAAACGAAGTTGCGCGAGTATGCTGAAAAGTTGGAGAAGACCAATGCGAAACTTTTGGGTGAAATTGAAATTCTGAAAAGTGAAGTTTGTCGTCTGAAATCATCAAAACTGGATGCAAAGGACGAATAAACAACAGAAGAGGATTCAGGTGGATACTGTACAGTGCTCATATTTTTCTGACTTTCTTACTTAACTTTTCATTCTGAAGTATGGTGAAGATAAACGCAATATTCACGTGAAACATGAAACATGGTGATTATCGTTGCAATTTGGATGGGAAAACCAGAAACCGAGGGCTTCTGTTAACTGGCCGAAAATGGCAGGTCAAGTGTGCTTTTGGAACCAGCATCGCTAAATTCACGGTTACAAACACAAGAGCCACACCTGGCACATGTTTCGTGCCGCATAGCACTACCTTGGCTATGGAATCGCTACATCATCATTCACCATCATCATCATTATCAGCTGTGAGGATCGCGTACTTGTCGTACCGTGATTGCAGTTGCCACAGGTTTATTCATCGGTGACTGAGGGACGTGGGGTAGGTAGGTGCGAGTTGGAGGTGGGAACTGATGGAAGTTGGTGCGTAAATACAGGACTGTTAAGTGGGGGAAGGGAAGGGAGCTATGCACTGAAGGCAATAGCTTGGATGCATGAGCGCTATCCAGGGCGCGACTGGGCCATGTCTGACAAGATCTCTAACCATTAATGTGGTCCGTCACCATCCAGGAGGACGGCAATGACCAGCTCAGCTGGGTTTTCTGGTAGTGGTTTTTATACTTCGCTGACAAGTCATTGTTTGACCGCCTATAGTTCTTTTCCATCCTTCACATGGTTGTGACAAAAGAAACCTTCGAGGAAGTCGATCGAATGGCATACGCAGCACGTGACCAAGCCAGCACAACCGATGAACTGTGATCAGTTCATCTATCGAGGGTGAGTTATCTCCTCCGAATACCAATCACTAGGTAGCACCACGTGATCCTTGGTTAGCTCTCCACAATGTCAATTCAAGATACAGAAATTGGTGTTTTAGTGAGTCTTAGAGTACCTCTAACAATGGCTGATTGAACAACTGTCAAAGTGACTCAATCCCACAACAATAGCTCAGAGCATCGGTTGATACCGATCGATCAACACCGCCCAGCATTTCACCTTGAGGATGATCAGTGCACAGTAATGTGAAAACCGTGGCGACAAATTGCTGCCACCAGTCTATGATTTTTGAACCGGTCGATCTTTCATATCTGCGTGTTGCATCCGGCTGGTTCACACTCAGGAAAGAAAAATGGAGACGATCCAGAGCTCATATGTCCATGTTCGCTTAGACGAGAAACACACTGAGATCAGATAACTGATTGGGGGATTAGAAAAGTAAATTACCATCACTGTGAGCCAGCGAAAAAGGAACATTGAGCTTTAGGCTGAATGAAACGAAAAGCTGCGAAAAAGTCGCGCACAACTGCAGTACCTGAAAACCGTGAAAAGCTCGAACCGTCTGACTGTAAAGTAACTCACTTTCGCGGTTGAGATCCTAGCTTGGCTACGCACACGTGACAATAGTGTACTTCGCAATGACCAATGAAATTACAGTAAGGCTGTTCCTAAATCAGCCAACCACATCGATAGATATCAATACTCATTTAAAAGTTGTTTAAACGCAATTTGGCAAGAAGGAAGTGCTCGTCCCAAATCGCGCACCGATTGGTGACGAAATGTTGGCAAGCAAATCGCCAAGCTTGAGCTAATCTACCACCAACCAGCCCAAATAAGTGTACGCACATTCCATTTGCGTGTGTTTTAGTTCAAAAGCTGAGTTCCCATTTGCCTTTCCTGACCACAACTCCACGATTGTCCTGTTACACACCACATCCCAGTTATGATGAGCAAAAAGGCATGTCACACTAATTTTCTTCAATTTAGTCCTTCATTGGTGTCGGAATTCGTTTCGTTTGTGAGTGACGCACTGGAAGTAGCGCACCGCTATTACCGTCGTTTTTCCCCATCTACCGAGGTTTATCCTGGGCTAGCAGGTGGGCCCCCTTGATATGCAGATGAGCAGTCAAAGCAAATTTTTCAAGAAAATAACGGACGAATGCGTTTTGGTTAGATGTACTGTACTACTGAATTTGGGTGTTTCTTATGTAAGATGAAGGGCGCAATTCATTAAGCCCAAAACAGCGCTTATTCTGGGTTGAGAATAAGTAAGTGTGAGTCCTGAAGACTTCAAGCAATGCTGCCAACACGGATTAGGCTGTCCTTGTTGCAAGCATGGTGGCTAAGAAAAGCCCTTCAGCTTGCTAGGAAACTGTGTACATTCGCGGTGCATCTGACTGAACACGAAGGACCACCTCTGGCTGACTTGAACCCATGCAGCGTGGTCACTGGAATTAGGAATCAAGGAAACTGACGCTCACTTGCGATTCGATTGCTTGCCGATGACTCTGCGGGCAGAGGAAGGAATACGAACTAACTAGGAGAACGCCATTTCGGTGGTGGATGAATCCTATTCAGTAATAGCCTGTGAAGCAATGGGGGTGGGTTGTGTCACACAGTTTTGCTTTCCATGAATAGCAAACAAATGGACCAATGGCAACACGCTTTCCTTACCGTACTTGCGACCACTGCTCTCACGCATCTCACTGTAAGTCCTTGCAACACGTAAGGGTACGAAAACAAATCCAATAGCAAACAAATGGACCAATGGCAACACGTTTTCCTTACCGTCCTTGTGACCACTGCTCTCACGCATCTCGCTGTAAGTCCTTGCAACACGTACGGGTACGAAAACAAATCCACAAAAAATGGCTGGAGCACAATGACGAGGCCCGTAGCGTCGGAAACAGGGTGCTAACTATCATGGACAAACGGACCTATTTTGGAATACAAAGGCGAAAGCTCATGGCTTTCCTCATCACAACTGTCTTGGACTTACAAGCATCTCTCTCACTTTCAGAGTTGTGAGGCGACTTAATCAGATTCAATCAACAGTCCTAAGTGGTCAATTTCGGTCTGGGTCGGAGAAAACCAACAGAAAATGGACGGTTCTGCACACATTTAATCCATTGGCGTGCATGGCAGTAAAGTTATCATCGGTCATTTAGCTGCTGCGGGTAGAGTTAACTTCAGGTGTCGTATACAAGGAATCCGGCTAACACCAAGCTACGGAAGATACCCTGCCCATCAGGGGGATCATTTCCGCATCTCCAAAACAGATGACACCTGGGCTCGGGAAAAGCAAAACGTTGATGGAAACTCGGAGACAGCGCCTATCTAGTGAGCCCCCAGAAGGACGAAACCCGTCGCAGGCTGTCGACGAGTTTTCAACACCCTTATGAGTAGTATGGCGCGTCTACAAGTCTACAAGTGTATCGCGATATCTCGAATATTGTACTAATTGAAACATGAGGCGGCCTGGTACAGCAAAGTCAGTTGCCTGAGAGATTCAGCTGGGTCTCTCGAAGAACCAAATTTGTTTGCAAATGAGTTTGCAAATGAGTGTCTTTCGCTAGTTTCATGTTATTTGGTTCCAAGTAGAACATAATGTTGACGGAAACTCGAGGACTGCGCCCACCTGATTAGCGGTCGTGGGCTGTCAAAGAATTTTCAGTAACCATATGAGTGGTGTATTACATCTGTAGATGACACAGTCATTTACAACGTGCAACGAACTGGGGAATAGGTTCCAGATCATTATTACTGGACAAAATTAACGAGCAATTCGGCTTTGGGTGGCATATCACTTGCTTACTGTTTTGAAACTACAGCTGAGAAGGGCGTAAGCGGAGTTCGATGACCTCTGTTGTGGATATCAGCCGGAATTTCACAGACTGAGGGTTGAGTAACAATGCGAAAGACAAGATCTCAGTCACTGACGCCTGCGGTTTCGGCTGGATGCATTCCAAAGGCTGCTCAGCTAGATCATCACAGCCATATCACAATATTCAACAACGAAGTCTACGAATCTAAAGGCGGGGTGGCACTTGGTTTTGCCACTACAAAGGAATGACGTGGTAGCGGAGTATGAAGGCTAATACCAGCAAACTCAGCTATGCTAGCCCGTCTGAATGGGGAGCCTGAGACCGGATGCCTCATTGTCAGACATGGCCCAGTCGGGCGCTCAATTTCGCGTATGCTTCAAAGTTGTTGCCTTCAGTTGCCTCCGGGTCCCCCCAATGGAAACCCCACTAACACCTCTGTAACTAAGCACCAATCAAATCACCTAATCCGTAGCTATCTACCCGTACGTCCCCAGACCATCGGCCTACGAAATGTACTATCCGTAACGATTGTAGAACAACTACGCGGTTTTTAGAACTGAGAATAATGGCTTAGTTGAATGTCATACCTGAAGTACGTGTAGAAGAGGGCTAATTTTCTAATGATACAGATCTCGTATTGACCGGCGAGGGATCCCAGAAAAACGAATGTGTCCAATGCTTGCCGAATCCGTCAATTCTTGGAGCAAACTATAGTCAGAACTGGACCAAGTGCTGAATGAACACAATTCGGATACAAACCGTTTAAAAGCGAGCACCTCTACTTGATTACTTGAAAAATCGATCAACTCACTCGTCGATCATACCAAGTGCGCTAGTGCGTCTATGAAGCAACCTGCACCGGGGGGGATTTTGATGGTCGCTTCTTAGTGGGAGGCTTTGTTGTGTGGCCGCGAAAGAATCGCGATTCACTACCCGTTACCAGTACTTTCCTCATACCTAGTGAGATGTAGAATCCTTCCATCTCAGCTTAGCGGAATTCTAGTCCCCCTACAAGATAGGCGGGACGGAAAAAAACATGGAGATGTGTTCCTAACCTGGTCATTGTTGTCCCCTAGAAAGGACAACACCATTCTAAGGAGGGCCTACACAAGCAGTTCGCTTCTAACATACGCAGTTTTGCAGAACAGCTCCCCAGTTGGATCTGTGGTCAGCACGATTGAGTCCATAGAATTCATACAGAACAGAGGAAATATCTTTCTGGATCTAAGTAAGCAGAGGTTTTATCCAGAGGAGTGTTGAGTTCACACTGATAGATTCTAAACTTTTTTGAGTCCTGTTTATTCCCATGGCACCAGCCAGTAACTCAGCAAAGAACCTCTGGCTTCCACAATTAGCCACAGATTGTTC